AAACATAAAACGTGAAACCGCAAGTTTGCATGTTTCTCCACATGGACTCCAAAAAACCTTCATACCAAATTTGGTGAAGATCCATCAACGGGGGGCGAAGTAGTGGTAAAAAAAAAGCAAAAACGCCCGTAAAACCTTCATACCGAATCTGGTGAAGATTCATCAACAGGGGGCGAAGTAATGGTAAGATAGAAATCACAGACCCACAGGGTATTATAGCTTGCCTGACAAAAAATGCTCAGGTTTTATCGAGGCAAGCTAGTGAAAAAACACATAGAAAATAAGTGGTTCTTTATATTACATATAGAAATCACAGATAGGCAAACATGCAAGTGTGTGTGTGCGTAAATGCGTGTCTGTGTATGTGTGACCGCCATAACATAGCAAAAAACAACATAGAAAAGAAGTGGTTCCTTACATTACAACATACTATGTGGACCCTGTCCACTTGGATATTATATTACTTATCTTATCCACGTGCGTGCGCGCATCTTTTTTAATGAGGCAAGCTAGCAAAAAATCACGTAGAAAAGAAGTATTTTTATGTTTCTGGGAAATAAAAATGTTTAAAATATTTTTGAATGTTCTATGCTAAAATAGGTTCAGAATATACACACTGACATAGTCATCTAAAATATATCAACCTTATATCCCGAGCGAAGACGGGTACTTTCGCTAGTATATATATATAAGCAGAAAGAACCACAATAGTCACGTTTTGGATTAGCTAGCACCATTTAAAACCGACAATGCTAGCAAGGCATATAAACAATGAAGCTACAAGTTACAATTGTAATCAATTGTCAAAAGACAATAGTATTTGGCTCATTGTACTTTCAAACACCAGGAAAGGGCTTCCACACCATAACGTTTGTTATTCGAACACATTGCTTTATATAAATAACGTTATAACCATTACTGTGTTTGTTGCATCTATCCGATCCGATGAGCTCTGGTGCTGAGCAAAATGCGGCGTCGGCAATGGATATGGCAGAGATGGTATTGTTGAAATACTAATATACAATCTTATTCTTGGTAAAACCCTAAGGGACCGACTAAAGAATGTAGTGTTTAAAAATACAGTAAGCCTAGTAGTGTTGTCTTATGACAAATATATAATCCATTATAATCACGCTTCACCAGTAAGTGGCATTCACACCATAACAAATACAGTTTCTTTTATACATGATAGGACAGATAGAGTAAGCTTAATAATAACCATAACAACATGTTTCGTCTTACCTGATAGGATGGAGAACCAACAATACTAAGAAGACTATAAACAATCGGTGGGTATACCAAAATGCATCGTAGCAAGTTTCCCTTGATATAGAAGAAAAAAACAACAACAAGGAAACGTTGTTTATTTTCTTTAGTCGACTAACAACATTATTTCTATTACGTTATTATCTTCGTTTAGGTGGGAAAATATTTGCAACTTAGAATATGTACACGTCATGCGTTTTTTCAGACTTTTTTGCCAAAACTTTTTTTTCCCATTAAATAAAGTATTAGTTGTTGAAATAGAACATTTTAAGCACGTAGTTTCCATAACTTAAAATGTATATAATAAATAACGACGGAAATATATTACAATCCCTGAATAAATATTTGTCATACCAAAACCTCATATAATTATAGATTAATGTTCCTATTACTTACCTGCAACTAATAGTTTAACCTAAGTTTTAGAAAACACCGACATTTAAGTGTAGGTGCTATCTATATCCGAGCCTATTAGGCCAATCTCAACCAAAATTTTTATGTAAACACTACGAAGTATGGAGAATGTCCTAAGGGTGTCAAAACTGAACTTAACTTTATTTCCTTTTTGTAATATCTGTTGGTTAATTACTCCCAGCCTATTGAGTTAATCTCAAACAATCTTCGCAGGTTGACGCTTTAGACAATGTTGTATATTCTAAAAGTATTCAAGGTCAAAGTATGAAAGTTGCTGAACTGTTTTTGAAATAACTAAGGTTTTCTCATGGTCAATGAGATGTAGGGTGTTCAAGGGTGGGATCACCTCAAAATCTTTATTTGTTGGTAGTTGAAAAGTAAGCTGTTTATGAAGAGGCTTTGTTATAATTTTAAAATTTTGAGATAAAGTTTATGTTCAAGTTATTACATTGTTTTGATTAAGTTTAAACATTTCCCGTCAGTTGATGGGTATTTAAGCTTGTTTACCACAAAAGGAGATAAAAACGAATTATGGCATGAACATCATAAACACTGGTACATGGATTCTAAAACTGCTAAAGTAAGCTGAATAATGAGCAGGCTAATTCAAGAATATAATCAAGTATACGTGCTATATGACGAATTTTTTGTGAGGCTAATTGAAAAAAAAAACAATAATTAAACATATATGGTGTTAAGACAAAGAAATATTATAGTGCTCAAAAATCCGTTTTCTAATCCCGATGAGTTGTGACATAAATAAAATTGACAAAAACATCACACATCACTAACTTAACCCAGTTCACACCGTAACAGCTGTTGTCAAGCGATTTATCAATATCAATAGGAAATAGCGTCTCGACCACTAATATGTCTGTTGTATCTCATTCGGTCTGAAGAGCTATTGTTTTGGACGAAAAAAGCCTCGTTAGCACAAGATATAGCAGTTATAGTGACTGACATATTATTATAACTCTTCATTACTTTAACTCATATATATATATATATATTTAAATAATCTATATTAACGTAACTATAACCTACCTGACGTACGACATTGAGGATGAACACAATAAACACAGGACTAGTACCATTGCAACACCCGTCACACCAGGAACTATGGAACAAAATATGATACTTAGTACTCGAGAATTGTTGTTGTTTGTTATTAAGCACAAAGCTACACAAAGGGCTATCTATGCTTTGCCCACCACGGATATCGAAACCCGGTTTCTAGTAGTATAAGTCCGCAGACATACCGCTGTGCCACTGGAGGGGGGGAGTACTTGAGAAGTCTGTAAATTACTACTATACTAGGATACTATAAATAATCAAAAGGTACAAATGTTTAACTGAGATAAATACTAAGGGTTGAAGCTTTAATATTTCTGAATTTAAAGTATTTCGAAATTTTGACTCAACTAAAATAATCTATGTTCAGAGTTTTACAAAAAAATTATTCATCCACAAAGCCTTAAACTTTACATCTGTAATTTACTGTTCAATGTTTCCACCTTGTTGGTTTTCGTGCCGGAAACTTTTCTTGTGCTAATTACAATCGCTGTAATTTCCAATCTGTTGAAAATGAAGTAACTCGAGTGTTTGAGTGTTAGTTTATGTAGCATGTTCACATTAAATTTGTACCATATATATTGTTGCGTCAGCGAGATCACGTGACTAGTATCACGTGACTAGTTTTCTAGAACTATCCTGTTCCTTCGGGAGTGCTCTAGCATTTGCTAGATTGGGGGTGGGCTGGTATATATAAGATGGTCACGGCGTGACGTGACAACGTGTGTAGGTAGTGAGTAATTGAACTGCAGT